AGACCTCGAAAATGGGTTCTTTGTGATACTCTTCGTACATTGACATCTGGGATGGTTATCTAAAACGGTCCAGAAAAACTGCAATGATGTTCAAGATCGTTCTCCAGTAGGAACCGTGCCCTTACCGCAGACGCGTTAGACGACATTATGAAATCTCGTTCAGCCAGAGCTGCTTAAAACTTGGTTTTCATGTTTTTTTTTCGCAGCAGACGCCATCGATTATCAATATAATAATAAAGTGTCATTTCTAACAGTCAGATATATGCGTTATTACGGTATTTAAACTCTTAACTTTAGATGCCGACGACAATGCAAGACATCATCTCCAAAAAGAGTGGTTGAACTCAGGTTAAAAGAGATCAGTATTGAGGCTATTCTTGTTATCCAAATAGCTGACTACAGTATCAAGCTCTGTGTCTTTGTAAAGAAAGGGGATCAGTCGTCCCAGATACGACCATTTGGATTAATTGTCAAGATATCTTTCTCGTACATTGACCGATTTAAATATATGAAAATTTCTGTTCACCTTTTCTGATGTTTCCTTAGCGGAGCATTTCCAGGTAAATAGCGAAAGCCTTCACAGCTACAATAGCAGCATTGTACTCGAAGATATCTGTATCTTTATTATGTGAAAACGGTTCCTCCTCAATTTACCAGGAAATCCGCGATCAACACTACGAAATGTTGGTACATGGAGGAACAAGGTAAAAACAGATCTGCTTTAGGTGAGTGATGTTTTCATTTCCTACGATGAAGTAACTAGTACCTTAACTACTACCTTACAACAAGTGCGAATCCCGCGGATGTTACCAGCCACAGATGTTCTGCTTATACCAACGATTCAAGATGATGCCTCAACAGTCATACTGCAACAAGTGTAAGAACGGGCTGCAAGAAAGTTCTTGTCAGCAAATAAAATACTTGTTAAAAAAAACATCTTCAAATGCCATTCTATATTATCTTTGCGATTTACATTATGCTAATCAAATATATTTTCCTACAGTCATTTATATGTAATAGAATGCAGTTTTTCAGGCCAAATTGCATACGATTTTTGGAAAATAACATAGTGCCCAAAACAGCTACAAGCAAGTTTCACTTTATTCCGATCCAGGATTTCGGCTGCAGACACAAGTTATCAACCGGGATATTCACAAACAATAATTAAACATAACAGGAACTGAGAACAAACAAGAACTTATTCAAGTAAATTACTACAGCTCATCAACGGTGTAAAAAAGTCAAAATCAAAGTGATCCGCAAAAGGTGCCAAATCTACCTAAATAATAAGCATGCATACTGAATGAGCACCCATCGTTGCCTTCGCGTGGCCTGTACAATTTAAATGGTACAATACTACGAAATGCAGGGTCAACCGATGATAAGATATTCGTCGATCAGTCACACGATCAAGTTTAAAACAGTGTGTCATGGTAGGAAGCCAACTGCATAACGAAATGCCGTGATATGATCAACGCCGCTAATGAATGACGTAAAATTCGCACAGATGCAAAATAAAATTTATACTGTGTACCAGACGTGCCACATTTTCAAATTTCAGAAACGATCAAGGTTATGAAATAAAACACGTTTAATTGAGGTACAACTGGTTTACACTGAGAAAAAACGTTTACGGGTTTCGAGGAAAGAATTATTTCGGTGGTTTTACTTAATTCACTGTCTTTCAACAATTTACATCGCAAAAACAGTACGGTATGCAAAACTGTACATGCAAAGACACTATCACTTAAAACCAAGCAGGACTGAAAGTGGTTAATGCAATGATGTACATTACTGACTTTGACATTAGCTTAAATACATTTAATGGCATTAGCTGGAAAAAATGCCGTTCAAACAACCAGAGCAAAAAAATTCACTAATTCAAGCAAGGCATGTGTCGTAAAATCCGCGATATTAATACCACGAAAATCGTTCAACTACGCCTTCCATCTGTTATTTTCGTAATCCCATTTCGACGAAAATCCCGTGAACGGTTCTGCAAATACATCAATATGTCTCTGCATTATCTGCTCCTTCGCTTCTTGAGTATACCAAGGAGGAAGAGGCAGAAAACCTAAACATCAGTCTTAAACTTCGTTACATGCTTGGCATTGCAGAAAAATCGTATCACGTAAAACGTTGAAATACAGAACAAAAACAGGCTTATTCAAACACAGCGCAATACCCTCAGTCTATCAGATGACATGGTAGTACCCATGTTCCGGCCGTATTTCATGCAGTCCTTCTTTAAAGTAAAGTAGGGGTGGCTCACTAGCCACGAGATGGTAGCTGGTAGCGGCTGATTCTTGTAATTTCGTAATGCCTACCGATTTGGGACCGTTACGGCTCGGCGTCAGCCAGCTGCTGCAGAAAACGACACTGTTAATGAAAAGGACCTGTGAGCTGCTGATCAAAATGTTGACAATGGATTATCCCTGTAGACGATATGAATTGTTGCGTTTAAATAAACCGTTTTGTGCTATAGTTGGGTATGTAGCAGACAACGCACGAACACTCAACACTAACCTGAGGCAGGAAAGGCAAAACAGTAAAACGAACGCGTACTCATAAAACTACGAACACTGTAAATTGCACAAAAGATTATTTACATTAATTTCTGAACGTATTTCTGATGTCCTTGTTGATATCACACATCCATCTGTGTATTCACCCTACTACGCGTTCGAAACCTGGTTCAGCTCTTGTTCTAAACTCTGCATTGTGATAAAATGTTTATTTATATACATCGATACATCGATCGTCTCACTATTAACCAATACGTCCTCCCTGTCAGTGCGGGCATCTTCCACTCATACCAAAAGGAAAATTCTCCGGCATTACGGTAGCCCATCTGAACCTGAACTAGTAATGGTGACAGACAACATGTACAGTGACGATGCAAACGCTGTAAATATCCATCCAGTTTCTTTGAAAGTGGAAACAGCATGAGATAAGGCGACGTCCTTTCAGCACCTTCTGTCTTCGCTCTGGCTGTCGACTGGGTGACGAGGCAAATCAATCATAAGTTAAGCGGTAGACGGATCCCAAGGTACTCACCCACACACGTCACGAATCTTGATTATGCAGAACGATGTCATATTGCTCAACGACTCCAGTCGTGAACTACAGCTACTAACAAACTAGGACTTAAATCGTCGCTGAAAGAACAGCCTTAATTTCAATCAGAAGAAAACGAAAGTGATAAGGAAGACAGAAAGAATAGAAGAGACCGACTCCCTCTGCATGAAGAAAGACTGGAAAAAGTTGACCACTATAAATATCTTGGCTCCATTATTAAGAACATTGGCCGCTGCGATATGGAGATGAATAAAAGAATTGTCTCAGCAGCGCCGCATTGGGAAGCTCAGAGATGATACGGTGTCATCAGACGGCGACGAAAATAAGTCTTCACGTCTCCTATCGTCTCGATCTTACTGTAATGCTTGAAAACAGCGACCTTGTAGAAAACACACGAGCATCATCTAGAAACATTCGAATCACGCTGTCTATGCCACGTTTATTCCAGCGAGTAACGCAACAGAGAAATAGAAGCGAATATTACTACCGAAATACGGTAATGATCCCCAGTGCTCCAGAAACTACGAATCTGTGACTTAATAATACCATGAAGGACAACACGTCGGTCGCTCAAAGATTCGTACAATGTGATCCAAAAAATGGACGCCGCCTCTTCCACATTCAACATAGAATTTAAAAATAGCTACCCAAGGCAGACCTGCAGTCGCTCAGGAGAATCATGTTCACAGGCACAGCAAAGCATGGCTAAAACTACGAATTTGCCAGCCGTCCAGCGGATACAGTAGATAAGGTATTATGCTAATGCCGCGGAGTTAAACTGACGAAGACGTACACTTGTCATAAAGCTAATCATGTTTTGCAATTTAAACCGCGCTCTTTTCGATATGTTACCAATTTCAACTTTAACACGTACGATGGAGCTGAATTCCTTGACTTCCGTGATTTCAATCAAGAGAAAACCTTCTACCTTCACTGTCTCTTCGAAATTTCAACTGCTTCCCTGTAAAACAACCTGCCATATATCCTCTCTTGCTCTTTACCTCTAGACGTTATTTTATTTTTCAAGAACTGCTCTAAGTGTTCTCCACGTTTCTCTACTTTCTTGAACAGTACTATCATCTAAGCAGAACACATCGTATGACGACTTTGACTGATTGTACTATCGCACTGCCAGAAAAATTTAAATACAGCGTTGCTGAAAGCTGTTAAGATGACAATTCAAGAAAACATTATATCAGGTATACACAAGCTTCATACATGTGGTTGCCTTCAAGATATTGATTTTTCCTCATGTTTTCATCAAGCAACCGATAGCATATACGTCAAGAGCATACTATGCAAGGTCTTATTCTTCTATCGTTTATTTCCTTCTTATAGGTAAAGACAAGATAATGGTCTGATAAATTCTTCCGCATAAATTATTTAATCGAAATCACCTACAGTATTGTATTTATTCATGTTTTAAAAATCTATATATTTCGAAAAGTACGAAAATAAGGCAATCAGTCTTTAATGAAAGTAAAACAAAGCTGCTAAGTACTGAGACGTTGGCATCTCTTACATTTGAGGATAGGTGCAATTTGAGACCTACCTTCTGTAGGTAGCTAATGACGGTTCGCTTATGTTCATAAGGATAACATCAACATGGAGCACATATTTGTGAAAGATACTTCTACAGCTTCATGACCAAAAAACCTATCAAAACACTGCAAGCCATACCTTGCCGTA